CCGTATTGGGCGGTCGGGGCGACGGAGGTGCGTGGCCCCGGGAAATGTAGAAAAGCCGGGACTGTCAGAGACACACCTAGCGTCTGCTCTGATAGTTCAAATTTCGCGGCATTCAGGGTGCTGCCCTCTGCGGCTCACCTAAAAGGGCGTGGGAGGCACAGCCCAAAACCCCCTCTCACTCCTAAAGGCCCGGGCCGACTTGTTTAAAACCCGTGCCCCTCCACGGAATGGGTAACGGTCACTCCCTCACACTGGGCCGTTGTGTACTCACTCCCAAACCCAATTAAAACCAAACCTAGTCCAGGCCCTATCATTGCTACCCACGTACCTTCATCGGACTAAAACCCTTTGGCAGGGAGTAAGAAAAAGTTTTTTTAAACCCCAACTAGTCAACTAACAACCCCGGTTTAACAGGAAAAAAATTCCGGGGAAATAGTTCTCATATTGGTGAATTTTAAAGGGCCCGCAAAGATTGGTCTGAGAGATTTAAGAACTGTAGGGTCCCCAGGGACACAAAAAATATGAAAAGGGCAGACTGATCTCATGTTTTCTTGTTAAAAGCTAATGGGGATTGCCCAAAATGAAGCCTTTACTCATGTTTCACTCTGGGAAAAACCCCCAGTGTTTAAGAAAAAAAAAGTGTCTCAACATCATCACTCTCTTCAATTAAAAGGTTAAAATGTCATTTTTCTTCATTTAGTAAAGGATATTGTGCATGGAACCTTCTTTTTTGTGTAGGGAAAAAGTATATTTCATTTTGGTTAAAATTTTTTTTTTTTTTTTCTTTTGGGGTCTGGAAAAAGATTAAAATTGGGAAATTTCCCTTATTTCTTATGGGAAAAAAATTTAAATTTAACTAAGATTAAATTTTATTAAAGATGAGCCCCTTTTGGAGTGGATTAAAATCGTTTAAAGGGTGGGTTTCCCCTGTAATTTATAAAAAATGTCAAACCCCTTATTGAATTGGGTAGTTGGACATTTATTGGGGGGAATTTATGTCATTTGTTTACTTTTTGAACATGGCAAAAAAACAAAGTTAGCGTTTTAATCCAAAAACATGGTCAGAGTTTTTTTTTTCTCACTATCCACTGCGTACTGCAGGATTTTTTTTTTTCTGTGCATAATGATAACACAGGCCCATTCTTTTCAAATGTGGGTCTAGCAGCTTTTTCTGCTCGATTTGAAGTCTAGAATTTTTGATTTCAGTATGTATAGGCAAACACATTGGCTCGTTTTAAAACGGGATATTTATGGGGCCCAAGTCAAAGGGAAAAAAGTTATGGAAAAAATTTTTTTTGCATGAAAGGGTCTTCTGTAATGGGCAAAATGCTGTAAAGCAACCCGTACTAAGCCTTTGGCTAATAGCCAACTAATATTCCAGTGTTAATAAAAAACCTATAGCCTTTTTTTTTATTATTTGTGCTTATTAACCCTTTCGGGTCCCCCCCGTTTTGAAACTAAGGCCCTTTTCGGGAGTGTCCAAACCGTTGTTTTACACCCTGAGCTCAGTCACTCTGATTAAAATGTGAGTGGTACCTTTGGGGCCCGATATGAGAGAAAAATCTATGTGGTATGTGTGACCACTTTAAAAAAAAATCCCGCAGCCACTGTGTATAATGAAAAAAAAAACTGAATTTATGATTTTTCGATTAAAACAGCAAATTTGCGTGTTTTTTCGTATGTTTTTTATAGTTGTATTTTCATTTCTTGGTCCATTTTATAAAAATGGAAGACATTTTTACAGAAATAGAGATGATTTTTATTGGTTTTAGCATGGAAAAGGCTTTAAATTTTAGTCAAAGTAGCGAAAAAAGTTAAATTTTTTTCCGGGGAATTTTAAAAGTAAACAAACGACCTCACACATCTAATACACGTCAGCTGGTGGGGCCCAATTTACATTCACAAATATGGTGATTTATATTTTTAAATTTTACAGTTTTTGCCAAAAAAGTTTTAAAACTTCTATTTTTTTGGGGTGAATAAAAAATTTTATGTGAAAAAAAAATCAAAAAGGAATTTATTTTTAAAAACCTCAAAAATAACTAATGAACCCGAGGAAATGTTAGTTTAGTGCCGGAATGCCTAATTGTTTTTTTGGGGCCCTATTTTAGGGAAAATTTGGGAAAATTTTTTAACTTTGTGTTGAATTGGGCCCAAATTTTAAAAAATTTCCGACACTTTTTTTTTGTAGTTGAAAAAAGTTTTACTGGCGATTTTTTTGGCTCCCAAACGATAGAATAAAGTAATACTAGTGAAATTTGCTAAGAATTTGGGTTTAATTTGGAAAAAATGTAATTGGCCCTAAAAGGGGGTCAAAATCGGCAAATCGCCCATTCGGGAAAATTTCGCTGACACATTTTAAAAAATTCGCGAAAAGCATTATTTTTGTCAAAATTTTTTCCCAAAATTTTGTACTTTTTGTTTTATTACCTTCACAAAAAGATTCACTACGATTTCATAAGAAAAAATAACAAATTTTTTTTTTTTAAATTCTTGGACACTGGTGCATGACTCCAGATTTGGGCCTTGGACCCTGAAAGGGTTAAGTAACATTTGAAATGCTTATAAACTCTCCAATTTCATAATATAAAAAAATTATTTTCTGCACTGCTACTGTACCTATATACTAGTTAATAATTTAAATAAATGTTAATTTTAACCCTTTCAGGGTCCAAGGCCCAAATCTGGAGTCACGCACCAGTGTCCAAGAATTTTCAAAAAAAAAATTTATTATTTTTTCTTATGAAATCGTAGAGAATCTTTTTGTGAAGGTAATAAAACAAAAAGTACGAAATTTGGTGGAAAATTGACGAAATTATGCTCTCGCGAATTTTGATGTGTCAGCGATATTTACGAATCGGCGATTTTGCCGACTTTGACTCCCATTTTAGGCCAATTACATTATTCCAATCAACCAAATTCTTAGCTATTTCACTAGTATTGCTTCTATTCTATCGATTGAGCACAAGAAATCGCCAAGTCAACTGTTTCAACTACAAAATAAAGTGATCGGAAATTGTTAATTTGGCCAATTTAACACAAATTTTCAAAATATTCTAATTTCAAAATAGGGTCCAGAATGAACAATGTAGGCATTCCTGGCACTAAACTAACATTTCCTCTGTTCATTAGTTATGTTTTTGAGGCTTTACAAATAAATTCCATTTTGATTTTTTATTCACATAATGAATTTTATTCACACCAAAAAATAGAAGATTTACTGTTATGCAATATTGTAATAATTGTATAAATATCATCACCACATTTGTGAATGTATATTAGACCCACCAGCTGACGTGTATTAGATTGTGAGGTCGTTTGTTTACTCTTGAATATCGGCAAAAAACTTAACATTTCTGCTACTTTGAGCTCAGTTTCAAGCCATTTCCAGTGCTAAAACCAATCAAAATCATCTCTATTTCTGTAATATGTCTTCCATTCTATCAAATGAGACCAAGAAATCGCAAATACAACTATAAAAAACATACGAAAAAACACTGCAAAGTTGCTGTTTTAATCGAAAAATCATGATTTCAGTTTTTTTCTCTCATTATACACAGTGTGCTGCAGGATCTGTTTTATGTGGTGCACACATACCACATAGATGTATTCTCTCATATCTAGGCCTAAATGTACCACTCACAGTTTATCAGAGTGAGCTGAGCTCATGGCGTAGATCTACGGTTTGGACCCTGAACGTAAAGCCGTAGATCTACGGGACGGACCCTGAAAGGGTTAATAGTTTTGTTTACAGTAAATCAATTATTTTCACCCCCAACTGGCTGTTCACACTTAGTATCTCAAGGAGGACATTCAAAAAAATTACCAGCATTTCAATAACTAGTATACTATGTGCTTCAAATTATGAATTTTTAAATATGAACAGAATTTTATATGATCCTACAAGTATAGCAATGCCTGTTGCCATAGTAATAACAACTTAAATGTGAAAAATATTTTATACTGTAATGCATAATACTACAAGCTCTTTCATACTGTGTTTCTGCTTATCACATTTTTAATATATTACATCTAGAACAAAGTTCTGAAGATTGCCCCTCTGAAGGAAATGGACTGAGTATTCATACTAAAAAATTCTAAAAGGGTGGCTCAGCCACAAAAACATTTCTGTTTAAGGATTTTCACAGTCTGGGAAAAGCTGGCTGCTGACTCAGGAAGGTTGTGTGAGAGCATCTGGTTCAATAAAGTGTAGGCTGTAGCAGCCCCATGAGCCTCCAACAACAGCTACAACAAAACTCTCACACCATTTTATTACAGCACTACAACATTATTCTTGGATGTTTTCTCAAATTAATGTTTAATAAAAGTTTGTTTGGTATAGGTGTAGCGAGTTCTCATATGTTGGGTGCAATTTGGAAAGGAAATATGATTCATTTTAATGATGTTGACTGCATATGGTGGTGATGATGGTAGCTGAGGGTATTGCCTGTAAAGATGTTATATAGAACTTCATTAGCCCTTACACATTTGCATATCAACAAGAAACAGCAACCACTGGTACAACTTTGTTAAAAAATGTGGCTTATTTTTTAGATGCTGGCAATAGGTGATAGTATTGGTGACTAAGGGTACTACATGTCACATGTTTGTACAGGTATTGTAAATGGCCACATCAACCATCTTCACACATTTCCAAATCAACAAGCAATGACAGTTATAATGAAAGGTATGAAAAACTATTTTTGACAAATTAAGATACAATGTATTTAATTTTTTTTTTTTTTTTTTTTTTTTGGGGGGGGGGGGGAAGGATATATAAAATGTAACACCATTTTTCCCATATGTTCTTCATTTTACATTTTACATTCCCACCAAGGCAGGGTGGCTCAAAAAAGAAAAATTTTCATCATCATTCACCATCTTGCCAGAGGGGTGCTGTACACTACAGTTATAAAACTGCAACATTAACACATAGAGCATTTATATGTGAAAGATCAATGTCTATTACAATGCACTGAACAGTATAATGTGTAACGTACTGTTGTGGTATTTGTATTACGCCTGTGGCGGGTGCGTGGTGATGTTAATTGGTGGCGTCTATCAGGAAGGAGATGGTACAACCTGGCTTCCTCCACTATCACACGACACTCTGGTGAAGACCTCACAGCCATTTCTCCTTCCACAACATCCACTAAAAAATATGGACTAACAAGTGCCAGCCTCACACACTCCAGGGCCTGTGAGAAAATATTTTGAAAATATTAAAGTACAGTATATAAACAATAATGATAAAATCTAAATTACTTCAAATACCTTTCATAAGCTACACATTAGTTACTATATTCTTCTTCTTCTTTCAACAAACCAGTCATATCCCACTGAGGCAGGGTGGCCCAAAAAGAAAAACCAAAGTTTCTCTTTTTAAATTTAGTAATTTATACAGGAGAAGGGGTTACTAGCCCCTTGCTCCCGGCATTTTAGTCGCCTCTTACAACACGCATGGCTTATGGAGGAAGAATTCTGTTCCACTTCCCCATGGAGATAAGAGGAAATGAACAAGAACAAGAACTAGAAAGAAAATTGAAGAAAACCCAGAGAGGTGTGTATATATAGTATATGCTTGTATACATGTATGTATAGTGTGACCTAAGTTTAAGAAGAAGTAGCAAGACGTACCACAAATCTTGCACATTTATGAGACAGAAAAAAGACACCAGCAATCCTACCATCATGTAAAACAATTACAGGTTTGTTTTACACTCACTTGGCAGGACAGTAGTACCTCCCTGGGTGGCTGCTGTCTACCAACCTACTACGTACTTAAATATATATATACAGGTCTCCCTCAACATTCGCGAGGGTTAGGGGATCAAGAGCCTCGTGAATGTTGAAAAACCGTGAATGTTTGGTGCCCCAATATATTGTAGGGAAATATAATACAATGCTGCTTCCTTAACTTGTCCAACCATGAACAATCATAAAATACATGAAAACGTCGTAAATTGTACTAAATACATACGTTATGCCTTAATAACATGTATGTTATTAAATACCACTGCCTCCACCACTGCGAGTCCCTACTACCCTCCCTCCGACCCCCACAACTGGCAGCCAGCCCTCCCACCACTGTGTGGTGAGTGTTTTGTTTGTTCATTATTTGCTATTAAACTACAGTATAAATAATGTAAACCCATTCATGACTGCATATTAGAATGGCTATTCGGACAGGTATTGGACGGTGACATCATGTGTTTACTCTTGAACACAGCAAAGAATCAAACATTTCTGCTACTGCTAATAATAATAATAATAATAATAATAATATATAATAATAATAATAATAATAAATAATAATAATAATAATATAATAATAATATAAATAATAATAATAATAATAATAATAATAATAATAATAATAATAATAATAATAATAATATAATTAATAATAGTATAATAATAATAATAATAATAATAATAATAATATAATAAATATGATAAAATTGAAGAAGGAAATTGTACAAAAATATGAGGGTTGAAGCAGTGGTGAAGGAAGTGGTTGACGCATCGTCAGTGTGACTTTGTTTATGCTGGAGTGAGTATTAGTCTCCGTGCTCTTCCAAACATTTCACAATAATTCATTGTGTTTGGTGCTTGTAGATTGAGTGTGACTGGAGTGGTTGAGGCAGTGGTAGAGGCACTGCCTCTATAACTGCCTCTACCACTGCCTCTATAACTGCCTCTACCACTGCCTCGACCACTGCCTCGACCACTGCCTCGACCACTGCCTCGACCACTGCCTCGACCACTGCCTCGACCACTGCCTCGACCACTGCCTCTGTCACTGCCTCTGTCACTGCCTCTGTCACTGCCTCTACCACTGCCTCTACCACTGCCTCTACCACTGCCTCTATAACTGCCTCTACCACAGCCTCTACCACTGCCTCTACCACTGCCTCTACCACTGCCTCTACCACTGCCTCTACCACTGCCTCTACCACTGCCTCTATCCACTGCCTCTACCACTGCCTCTACCACTGCCTCTACCACTGCCTCTACCACTGCCTCTACCACTGCCTCTACCACTGCCTCTACCACTGCCTCAACCACTGCCTCAACCACTCCAGTCACACTCAATCTACAAGCACCAAATACAACGAATTATTGTGAAATGTTTGGAAGAGCACGGAGACTAATACTCACTCCAGCATAAACAAAGTCACACTGACGATGTGTCAACCACTTCCTTCACCACTGCTTCAACCCTCGTATTTTTGTACAATTTCCTTCTTCAATTCTATTGTATTTATTATTATTATTATTATTATTATTATTATTATTATTATTATTAGCAGTAGCAGAAATGTTTGATTCTTTGCTGTGTTCAAGAGTAAACACATGATGTCACCGTCCAATACCTGTCTGAATAGCCATTCTAATATGCAGTCATGGATGGGTTTACATTATTTATACTGTAGTTTAATAGCAAATAATGAACAAACAAAACACTCACCACACAGTGGTGGGAGGGCTGGCTGCCAGTTGTGGGGGTCGGAGGGAGGGTAGTAAGGACTCGTGGCGGTAAACTTAAATATGATTTGGAGGCTGGGAATTTGGCGGTTGGGAATTCGCGAATGTGTGAAGCCCGCGAAAGTTGAAAACGCGAATGTTGAGGGAGACCTGTATCTTTCTTTCTTTCAACGCACCAGCCGTATCCCACCAAGGCAGGGTGGCCCAAAAAGAAAAACGAAAGTTTCTCCTTTCAAATTTAGTAATACACCTACCATCCGACTTACTACCGAGTTCGGCTCCAAGAAACCGGTCGTAAGTCGAACTTTACTACTAAATATCAACATCACATTTTTGTAATGTCTTTATTTTATTGTTTTATTTTGGTATTTCATGTTTTACTTCACTTTTTATGCTGTTAGTACTGTATTTTATACTGTAAGGTTTAGGATAAACACTGTGTACAACACAAATAGTTGTTTATTTCCCAGAAATTTGGCATAAAAAACACGGTCGTAAGTCAAGTGGTCGTAAGTCGGATGGTAGGTGTATATACAGAAGAAGGGGTTACTAGCCCCTTGCTCCCGGCATTTTAGTCGCCTCTTACTACACGCATGGCTTACGGAGGAAGAATTCTGTTCCACTTTCCCATGGAGATAAGAGGAAATACACAAGAACAAGAACTAGAAAGAAAATAGAAGAAAACCCAGAGGGGTATGTATATATATGCTTGTACATGCATGTGTAGTGTGACCTAAGTGTAAGTAGAAGTAGCAAGACGTACCTGAAATCTTGCATATTTATGAGACAGACAAAGACACCAGCAATCCTACCATCATGTAAAACAATTACAGGCTTTCGTTTTACACTCACTTGGCAGGACGGTAGTACCTCCCTTGGCGATTGCTGTCTACCAACCTACTACCTTGGATATATATATATACATTTTTTTTTTTCAACAAGTCAGGGTGACCCAAAAAGAAAGAAAATCCCCAAAAAGAAAATACTTTCATCATCATTCAACACTTAAACCTCACTCATACATAATCACTGTTTTTGCAGAGGTGCCCAGATGCAGTTTAGAAGCATATATAAAGATATGTTACACAGCCCTCCAAACTTCCAATATCCCAAACCTCTCCTCTAAAGTGCAGGCATTGTACTTCCCATTTCCAGTACTCAAGACTGGTTAAATAAAAATAACCAGTTTCCCTGAACCTCTTCCCTAAATATTACCCTGCTCACACTCCAACAGCTCAACAGGTCCCAAAAATCATTGTCTCCATTCACTCCCATCTAACATGCTTATGCACGCTTGCTGGAAGTCCAAGCCCCTCGCCCACAAAATCTCCTTTGGCCCCTCCCTCCAACCTTTTCGAAGACAACCCCTACCCCGCCTTCCTTTCCCTACAGATTGATACACTCTCCATGTCATTCTACTTGGATCCATTGTCTCTAAATGACCAAACCACCTCAACAATCCCTCTTCAGCCCTCTGACTAATACTTTTATTAACTCCACACCTTTTCCTAATTTCCACACTTCGAATTCTCTGCATAATATTTACACCACACATTGCCCTTAGACAGGACGTCTCCACTGCCTTGAACTGCCTCCTCGCTGCAGCATTTACAACCCAAGTTTCAAACCCACATAAGAGTGTTGGTACCACTATACTTTCATACATTCCCTTCTTTGCTTCCATTGATGACACAAATGATTTTTGAGACCTGACAAGCTGTTGGAGTGTGAGCAGGGTATATTTTGTGAAGGGATTCAGGGAATGTGGTTGGCAAGACTTGAGTCCTGGAAATGGGAAGTACAATGCCTGCACTTTAAAGGAGGGGCTTGGTATACTGGCAATTTGGAGGGACGTCTAAGCTGTCGTATCTGAGTGCCTCTGCAAAGACAGTGGTTATGCACGAGTGATGGTGAAAGTGTTGAATAATGATAAAAGCTTTTTCTTTTTTTTGGGGGGGGTTTTCTTTCTTTTTGGGTCACCCTGCCTTGGCAGGAAATGGCCGACGTGTAAAAAAAAAAAAAATGAAATAACTTGAAAACAAGTGAAATTTTGGAAAGTTTCCAGGCATAATGGAGAGACGTAGTGCTCACGGAGAATGTAAACAAACCGGTTAGCATGCGGTGACCGTATTAGAAACTTAGATGGAGGGAGCCATATAGCAGGTTTTGATCATAGTTTGAAATGTCTATATGTATTAGCGGAATGCCATAAGGCAAAATGCCGTAAAGTGGGGCCCTGCTGTAACAGCTTTCACCTTACTCATTTTCTAAAAAATATTATACCTGTTTCTTTGTGATAAATATAAATGCTACCAAATACAATACTCCATATTCTTGCATCCCTCACCTTGTAAAAGATGGGTGCCCTTGTGGAATAAGAATGGTGGAGCCAAGCAGTAGAAGCATCAAATACATGCTCCTCTCTATCTACCTCCAGCTCATCAGCAGATATTATCTCTACTACCTTCTCTAATGGCAGATTGAGCCACTCTTCTCCCCCCACCAAAGTAAAA